GACATGCAGCTCATGCTGAGTGGGGGGCGAGGACCTAGTGATGGACACCCCACCGATCAAGTGCCATGTAGGGAGTAAGTTTGAGTTGATGATTTTCCTTTACCCGTAGAGGCAAGTGGAAGAGTTTCCAGGCTTCAGGGCAGAAGAGTGGGCAGATCGGATCAGTAGAGGAGGAAGGAAACCTGGTGCGTCAGAGGAAAGCAGTGGAGGGGTCTCTAAAAACTAGAGGGGAGAACCAGACGCCTTTCCAGGGCTGATAAAGACACACGGCAAGGGCAAGTCAGCCTTCCTCTCCATGACAAATTTTAACCATATGCCCGAGGGACATAGGCTGGCACTACTTTCATTTAACATGTTCAACAGCCATCTGGAGAAGGTGGCACTTGTGCATATAGTCGTCACGAAAGGCTTCAGACATATAAAAGGGCCCAGTCATCAAACGAGAAAGTTCTCTGTACTGACTCCCAGGTGTCATTTTCAGGCTGCCATCATGTCATGAGTGACATCCACCAACTCAGCTGATGAGGGCACACGTGTGGATGTAGCGAATGCCTCCTTCACAGCTGTTTTACATGAGAAATGCCTCTGCATCATAGAATCAGAGAAAATCCAGCTGGACAGAAGTAGCAAGTCACACATTCACATACACATGCTTGGTCCCACATTCTGTCATGCTCAGCCCCCAAGTTTCTGTGTAAATGGACAGGCTCATATTGGAACTTACTGGCTATGAATTCCTGAAAAACTTTTAGGGCCTTGATGATGGCATTTTGGGCAAAACGAAGTATGGTGACAAAGACATGCCAGTCTATCCCATCACACACATCTGACTGGCAGGGCCTGACCAGCCCCATACACCTTTTCCTACTAATGAACAGTGCAAGAAACCTACACATTTACAAGACTTGACCGTTGGTTGCAAATATTTTCTGCCATCTTTCCCACCCTTGACACTTTGTTTTTGTGGGAGGTTAAAGCCCCTCACAGAGACGCGGACGGCCTAGCAGATGTTTGGAAGGCAAGTCCTGGTGATTTGCTTTGATTGCATTAGGGAAGTGTGTGTGTGTGTGTGTGTGTGTGTGTGTGTGTGTGTGTGTGTGTGTGTGCGCG